GCGCGGCCGGCTCGGCCTCAGCCGGGAGCCCCGTCCAGGGCTGCGGGCTGCACTGGCAGCCGGCTAAGCGCAGCTCAGCTCAAGGCAGGCAGCAGCAGCAGCGGCTCTGCATAAGCTCTTTGCCTCTTTTTCAGAGGCCTCAAAGCAGCAGAGCAGTCCCCTGACCCAGGAGCCTGGGCTCTTCTCTGCTGCACAAAAGGACTTTTGGCCCCTACACCCACAGCGATGCCAGCAGGCTGCAGCCCCCCTCCAATCCCTCTCCAGGGATATCCACTCCCATCCCTGGGCCCCACATCATGGGCTAAACACCCCTGTGCTGAAGGGAGACAAGAGGCCTGCAGCCTGGGGGCTCCCTGCCCCCTTCCCCCAGCCAACCCATCTCAAGCATCAAATACCCACCAGGGGAAATAGGGTGCCCCATATCAGGGCAGCCCCACACCCCTGTGCATGCATGGGCCATTCCTCCCTTTCTAATTAGCCTCATTAGCTTGCTGCTGTAAATAGAGGAGCTCCAGCTGGAGCCAGGCAGCTTCTGCTGGGTGGTCCCCAGGGTCTGAGCTGAAGGAGCCTTTGGTAATTAGGATCTAAAAATGCATCTCCCATCACAGAAGCTGCCTGTGCTCACACCCCCCTGAGTCACCTACACCAGCCACCAGCTCCCTCTCAAACTCAGCCAGGAGAGGCACAAACCTGGTGTCAGAGCATCCAGCCCACTGTTTTTAATAGCGGACAAGAGATAACACCAACCTCCCCCCCCCCCCCAGTAAAGAGGCATCCTTTCCCCCTGCCACATCCCCCCCGCAGGTAAGACAGCACAACCAGGTTTGCTGCAACGTGTTTATTATGTGCCAAAAACTACACCACAGCTTACTCCACACATCTGTAGGAGAGTGCAGTCTTGCCTGCATATACTACAATGAGGTAGAGACTTCACACACAGCTTCACAAAAACCCACAAAGAGCAGCTGGGATATGCAACAATGCAACATCAGCTCAGCAGGATTTGAAAGAGGGAGAAATTATGACACTGGTTCTTTGGCACACAGCTTCCGAAAGAGGGGAAAGTAAAAAAAAAAAAAAACTATAAAGTTCTCAAATCCCAGCAGCATTTCAGTTGACTGCACTGTTACTTCATACGCTTCTTAAACAAAAGGAAAAGTACTTGTCCCCTCTAAGAGAAAGGGCTCCTATGAACCTTCATCTGTCCACCGAAACGCAGCCCTTTTTTAGCTAGTTACAAAAGAAAAGTAAAGTCCTGTGACTTTGTGATTAAAAACCTCTATCAACCCCCCTTAAGTGCAACTTAAAAAAGTGCAACAAACTATTTAAAACTATATACAGCAGCTCAGAGATCGTTTATCCGGTCCAGTTTCAAACCCAAAAATCCTGTCCTTTTCTGTTGCAAACCCCTCGATTTACAACTTCCCACCAGCAGCCCCCAGACACAAATTGCAATAATGTTAAAAGCTGCCAGGAAAGAAAAATCTCTCTTTTCAAACGACTTAAAAACTGTTTAAGAGTGTAAAAAGGAACTGGTAAAAACCCTCGAGCGTAAAATATGAAATATGATTTGGTTTAAATGAAGAGCAAAGTCTCCTTGTTGTTACAGTAAAAAACGCCAGCTGAACATTCAGTTTATGCCGTTCAGATGGGGGTTAAATGAATGGAAAGGCACTGTATGGCAACTGCAAAAAAATGGAGCCAATGAGACCTGCATTATTACCATCAGTATTGCAAGGAATGTAAAAAAGCGCCTTTAATAAATAAAAAACCTAGGTGAAGGCATCTGCATAAACACCTTCTCAACACGTGGCCCTTTTTGCTTCTCGTCAGCAAACTAGGAACCAAAGTCTGGGAACTGCAGAATCGCTTGAGGGGTGCTCCCCCCCTCAAAAAACCCCAAACAAAACCCGACAAAATTCACTGTGCATTAGTGCAGAAACAAAAAGACCAGCAAGTGCAAACGTGAATGTAAGATTTCCCCATTAGTCCTCAGGAAGCGCGTTCCCAGCCTGGGTCTGGCACCAGCAGGCACGCTCGTGCGCTCTCCACTTGGCAGGTTAACAAAAGGACTCTCTCCTGCGCCTGCGGCAGCCCCCGAGCCTCGGCGGCCTCTTTAGCTGGAGTCTCTGTTCTTCTGGTTGCGCATCAGCGGGCGGTGGTGACGCAGGACCTCCATGGAGTGCTGCCAGTGCCAGCAGGAGCGACAAAAGTACTTGAAGCAGATCTGGGGGGAGAGCAGAGGCACACCGCAGGTCAGGACAGGCAACTACTGACCCACTCAAGGCAGGAGGAAGCACCAGCTGCTTTTCCAGCTCAGTGATCCCAGGCCCAGAAGGCTCGACACCAGCACATCAGGGAAGTGGCACCCTCCTCCCCAGTTTCACAGTCCCCGTGACAAACCTATGGCCAGCAAGGCAGAGCTCCGAATGCTGCTTGAGCAGGGGGGAGGCAATTTCAGCAATGCTGCAGGAGGGTGTGTTGCAAGCAGGTGGTGTTGATTTTGCAGCACAGCCCTCTCTAAAAGGAGATTTGAAACCTAGAAACTCAGCACTGGCCAGAAGCCTCCCAGGGCCACTTCTAACTGGGGTCTGGGGCTGCTGCACATCTAACCCAAGACACCTGCACAGGGCACACAGGAGCCACAGTACAGCTTCAGTGCTTGCCACACTCCCATTTCCATCTCCCAGTGAGAGGGGAGCATGCTGCAGCTCAATGATCTTCTCTCCATGGAAAGCCACTGGACTCTAGCCAAGCTCCTTCGCCTGCAGCAAGCAGAGGTCAGCCAGAGTCCCCCACGTTGCAGGCAGCCCCAGGACCAACCGCAGGGCGACGGCACTCCAACTTCCAGCTTCAGTGTCACCACTCATAGCAGCAACCTCCCCTCTGGGTCAGCCCATGGGCAGCAGTGTGCAGTAGCAGGCTCCTGCGCTCTGGCACAGCCCCAACAGCCGCCAAGCCACAGCACATCCCTGCTCAAGGTGGAGCAGAAAGTTGCCTCCTGCATCATGGTGAGGACCAGGGCTGCCCTGGAGAGGAGCTTCCCAGGAGGGCAGCACACCCACAGAGAACAAGGGCACACCTGGGGCTCTCACTTAAGAGCCTGCTGGCATGTCATCTTGGCCATCGATGACTCTGCAAGGACAAACAGGCATCCCCAAACACTACAGCAAAGCAGCAAGTGCTGCAGAGAACAGCAGTGCCTGCTCTTCCTTGAAGGAACTGAGGCTCCCACCTCCGACTTAGCACAGATAGCCAGAAGCTGAGCACATCTGGAAGCAGAAAGCATTACCTGGTCTCTGCAGAAGAAAGGGCCTGGCTGAGCACTGCAGACTTGACACATGGAGTCCTCTAGATATGGATCGATCTGAACCTGCAGGGAACCAGGGAGTCAGAGACCTTTGCTGGGGGGCAACTCTCCCAACGGCTCTGAGCAGCTCACTCCCCCCCACAACACAGGGGGGCCTTGAAGGCTAGAGGTGGTCACCTGCACCCATCACAGCCAGCAGAGCAGCAGTTCATCACCACCCTCTGCTTTCAGGGGGGATATTGGGACAGACTACCCTGGTCATGGCACCCACAGCAGTACCACCCATCCACATGTGGGACTTCAGCTCCCTGGGCAGCCTCTGCAAAGCCTCTCCCAGCAGCTCCACTCACCTTTTTAGTAAACTTGGTAGTTTTGATTTCCACAAACGCAGCCGTCACTGCCTTCAGATAACTGCGCTGGTTGTTAAAGGTAACACGGCCAGACCCTGGAACAAGCCAGACAATAGTTACACTGACCTGGCACGCTAAGCCAGGAACTGGGGGAGGCTAAGAGCAAGCTGCCATGAGCACCACCCACTTCCCCCCTGCACAGTTTAGCCACCAGCATGGAAGCAGCCAGCAAGCATTTGCTGGGAGACTGTATCCAAGGTCTGTGGGCTTTGCCTGCCTCCTCCCCTATGCAGGAACAAAAGCACAGGAGGCAGCAGAGAGTGTGGAAAGACTTCTTTCTACTGCCTGCACTAGCTCCAGAGGCAGGACAGGCCAGCAGGGTACTGTTGGACAGCCAGGACACCTCTGTCAGGCTGGTTAGGGTGTGCACTTATGGGAGACAGAGCTTTCAGGAGTCCCAGCCATGGCCAGGCAGAGGGGCAGGGCACTGCTGAGGGCAGCACAGCAGCGAGCTCTATGTCTGCACCTGAAATAAGCTGGTGCTGAGACAGCTCAGCAGCTTTTATTTAGAGCCTCCCACTCATCCTGAATTCTTGCATTTTGCATCCTCGCTGCCAGTCAGCAGAGCTCCTGCACCACTCATTTTCAGCCAAATTTTGTTAAGCTATGGGAAAATGTATCTGTGCTTACAAGTTTCCTTCCTTAGCGTAATAAGAGCTTTGGCTGCTACAAGACAGTCTTGCATGCTGGCAGACAGGGCTACAGCCAAATCCATCACTGACAGCCACAGTGTAAGGTGTAAACCTGGAACCTGTTTCACACCTTTCCCTTAGCATCTGCCTCTGCTCAGTCACACAGGACAAGGGGCTGGGGGCCCTTGGTCAGATCCGGTTCAGCCACAGCACACAGACTGCAACTGTGCTCAGGGAGGTCCTTCTTCCAGAAGGGTCAACTCCACCTCCTAGTCTGACCCTCCCAAAAGCAGTCTGGGCAATGGTTTTCTTCGTTGAGCTAGGTCTGCCAGTCTCAAGGACAGTTTTGATATCTTCCTGCATCTACGGGCTACTGGTCAGACACTGTGATTAGTCATACAGCACGCCTTCAGCAGGCTTTCCTCTACATGAGGATCCAACATGAGGCAGGTTCTACATAGTGGTCTTCCCTTAAAAAGCTTACTGCCAAACCAGGGGCAGTGGTCAGCAAGCAAGCCCAGGGTAGCATCTCAGCACATGAGTGTCTTCAACACTGAAGGAAACTAAGGTTCAGTTCAGTTTCCCATTAAATTTGGATTCATACTGCTGCATCTCATTTAAGACAGCTTCAAGGCTAGGAGTGCCAAGCTGCTGCTCAGAGCCAGAGATCTCTCCCACTAGAGGGAGCAATTTGGGCTGTGCAGAAAGCCACCAGAGGTTAAGGTCATGCTCTCAGACCCGACAGAGCCAGCATGGAGCAGCTGCCTCATGGAGCAACTTGGTGTGCTTCATCTGTGGTCAGAGGAGCTAAGAATGTGCCCGTTCTCTAAAGTCTCATATCTCCATTCCCCACCTCTTGGGACTGTCACCCAAAAGCCACTTTGCCGGTTAAGTGTTGCAGTACCACCAGCACATCCTGAACTGAGGTCTGAACCGCATGCTGCTTTGGACACCAAGCCCTGAACAGAAAAGCCCAAGAGCTGTTCAAGAAGAGTTGAGAGCAACAGACAGCTTTACACTGGGGAACACATTTTTCCCACCTGGCAACACACAGGAAGTTCATGGTCTCTTCTGAAGACTGCAGCTTGCTGCAACCTTCCCACAGCCCAAGCCTGTAAAAGCTTGGCTCAGCTCTGTGGGGTTTCTCCATACAGTCCCAATGACCTCAGTGCTGTCCCTTCAGCTACCAGGCTGCTGGGGAAGCACAGGGAAGCAAGCTCCTGTGACACAAACAGTGAGGCACTGCTCAATTCCCCATTGGAAGTCTGTCTCAGCAGAAGACAGGAAGGAGAGGGCTGCTGTCTTGGTCATTACAGGAGGCTGTGCTCATGACCTGCACATCTCAGACATGCAGCCCTGACTGGGAGACAGGCTTGGAGAGGCTCCATCCTTCCCATGATCTGGAATGCAGTTGGTCTTCCTGGCCTGGAGGTAACAGGGGCCAGGGCAGCCATACTCCTTGGGAGCAGAGGAAGCAGCTGAGCTACAGACCTACTGCCTACAGCTTGTGGTTTCAGTCCCATCAGAAAGGGGGGAAGTGTTTTCAGAGTCATGCTCCTCTACTGCCCCCAGGAAGACCTATGCCCTGAGCAGAGGTGGAAGGGGCATCCTCCCAGGAGGCCCAGTCAGGAGACTCGGGGAAAACCTTGCTGCTTTTGCCTCCAGCCACCTTGGAGGCCCAAAGTAACAATACCCTACTGTTCCCTTTGGTTTCCCTTCAGGGACAGGACACTGCCTGCAGGTTCAGATAAGCTGCTCACAGCCCTGCCCTGGGGCTTCTGCTGCCCTATCCCCTCCTGCCCAATAACTGGCACCTCCCCAGCAAGAAAGGCCAGCAGCCAGCAGGTTTGAATTTGCCCCAACAGGCAGCAGTAGCCAGTGCAACAGATCCACAGCTCGCTCTCTGCTCTGGGGATGGAAGAACGGCCAAAGCAGCTTCTAAGGACCATTAACATCTGGCTCTGTGCACAGCACTGAACAGCAGCAGAAGACCCTCCAGCAATGCTTAGACATTAAAAGCTCAAGCTGCTGTAGAATGCTCTAGGACCTTCCAGTTCCCAAGCACATCAGCTCTGCCAGCCCTCCAAGGTTGGTTTTACCTCCTCATAGCCAGACAGTGAGGACCACTGCCTGTGGCTGGACATCTGCTCCCAGAGCAGAGATACACTGCTCTTCCCTCCCGTGGGCTGCTTGTCAAGCAGAGCTTCAGGACACCAGAAAGTCTTGCCCATTGACAAGGGCCAAGCAAAGAGCACTGCTGCAGCCTGCTCATCTCCCCAAAGCACCTCTGGGGCAACCACCGCACTCGGCAGGATCAACACTTACCAATCGGGTACTTGTGCTTGTCCGTGTCAATGCCAGCGTAGACCACCCCTCCAAACAGGTCATACATGACAGCTGCCAGGGCCTCTGCATTCAGCATCCCATGCAGAGCCCCCACAAAGACAGTCTTGCTGGGATCAAGCCGCTGCGATGGACTGCGCACAAAGTTGCTGTCTGCCAGCACCCATGGGATCACCTGCACCTGGAACCACACACAACCAGGTCAGCCCACCAACAGCCTGCAGAGGTACATGCTGTGCTGCTCCACAGTGCCTACTCCACCTCAGTAAGGGGGATGCTGCCCCAGGACCCAGCTCCAGACAGACACACAGGGTTCTCTGGATGGCCTGCTGAGCCCTCATTTATGGCCAGAGTTAAGGAGACCCAGGTTGCATTTTCCCTGCTCTCTGAAGCAGGCAGATACTGTAGCATTCCTTGGCTGACAGCAGAAACTCTTCCAAGCCCTCAAGACTTTACCCTCATCTTGCAAATACCCCTTCAATCTAGCTGGTTGGGGTCCCTGTCCAGGGCACTAAAGGTCTGGGGCCCAGCCTTGCCCCAGGCTCCTCGGGAGAGCCAGAGCCTGCTCAGGGGAACATAAAACAAATGCCACACTGCTCTGCCCCCAGCCCAAGTAGAATCCAAAACACTGGTCCCTTGGGGCTGGCAGCCAGAAAACAATTCATGCAAGACTGGATTTTACCTGCCGTCTGCACCTATGTTTACTGCCCAGTCAGACACCTCCCTGCACAGAAGCCTACTGTTGGAAGAGATCAATGAAACAACACACCCACTGCCAATTTCAGCAGGCGCTTTCATCTGCTAGACCACTGATATAGGGCCCTGAAGAGGAGAAACTTTTGCCAGAGCTAAATCACCAAGTGTGAGAGTGTTGCCAATAGCCAGACACCAAGAGACTGTCTTGAGTGCAATTAGTTTGTGCCTGCCTAGATAAGAGCTGAATCTCAATTCTTTAACTCTACAAACCTGTGCAGCTGTACCTGGATCTATAGCTAAGGCCCCTGCTTACTAGAATGCCAATTCTAGTAAGACAGGCCTGTCTGCTCCTTCGGCAGCCTCAGCACCTCCAGAACACAGTTCAGCAAGCCAAGGCTGTGCTAGGGAGCAGCTGCAGTTACTGCTGTGGATCCAAAGTATCTGCCTGCGGTAAGCATGAAAGCCATTCATTCTGCAAGCAGACAAGGTCTAAAAAAGAACCAGAAGGGATCCAAATCTTTCCTCCACAAGCAAAGGTATGCAGAACTAAGCATGAAGCAGTAAAATCTCTATTCCTGCCCTCATTTTCAAGTAACTGAAGCAGTTCAGGTGCATGGAGTACAGAAAGGGCAGTGTTTATCACAGATCCAGGAGCTCAAGCCAGGAGGTCACAATTCCTTATACAAATACAAGCTCTTGCAAAGTACAAAACAGTAAGTTAATAGCAAGGAAAAACCACAGCTCTGCTGCCTCCCTCCTTGCCTGTGTCAGGCCCTGCTCCATGAAAATATCAATTAAAGATGGCCAAGAGCCAGCTTTGACTTCTGCTGCTCTGCTTTAGCACTCCTTTCCTGGAGCAGAGTAACACTGCGCACCCCCCTCTTCTCCAAGGATCTCACCAGGACCTCTTGCTGTCATCTGTAGAGCCAGTCTTAAGGTTAATATAAGGTTAATCACAGCACTCTATTTAACACCAAAGGATCCCTGCTGCAGAGCCTTGCCTCAACACATTAGTAGCAGCAAAGGGGTAGCCATACCAGCTCTCATTTAAGGCCTACTACAGACAAGGGACATATTCCAGGCATGTCTTCCCCAGATGACAATTTTATTGACCACAGACTGTCCCTGGGCCTGGGTCTAGGGGTGTCAAAAGCACATTTGACATCAGTCTGCTCTGAGCCAGGAGGGCTGAGGGGACCTGATGAGTCTGCTCACCTCTTTGCAGCGCATCCTGCGGCTGGACATCTTGAAGTAGTATTCACTGAGGCCATCAGGACTCAGCAGGTCCTGGGAGCATGCCTGGAGCAGAGCACGCACAGATTTCTCCGACTCAAACACCAGGTAAACATATCCTTCAGAGGTGAAGGGAAGGAAACGGTTAGAACAGCAGCAGAGGAGAAAGACCACCCCAGTTTGCAAACAGCCTCAAAAAATCACTTGGATACCGAAGCATCTGCTCTGCATCTCCCTTGCTTTCCCCAACCTCTTTTAGCAGAAGGCTGATTTTTTTCATGCAATACTGCCCCTGCTAGAGCAGACTCTACGTAAGAGATCTGCCTATGATGCACCGATTCTGGTCAAACTGCCAAAGAGCCCAAATTTTCACCACAGCACAAGACTGCCCCTCTGTCCAGCCAGCCATCAGGGGCAAGTTACCCATGTTCAATGCAGTTTGGGCCACTGCCTCCCATGTGCAGGGAGATAGGGTTACACAGATTAATACAGCCACATCTAGACATGAAGAGTGGACACAATCAGCCTGGCCACAGCATGGTCTGCAGGAGAACAGGCTCTGCTTCATACGTAGGATATCTCAAGTCCAAAGCTTGAAACTCCAAGCCCTAAACCACTTCCATAAGTGCCGCACACTCTACCCGACATTACTTTGGTGACTGAACTAGGCCGTTAGGCACCCACCAAGCCTACGAACCAGTTACCAAGTTCACTATACTGTAAACTCATTACTGCTTATACAACACATCACCCAGCCATTTCAGACAGGATTATGCCACAGGGGCTGTTCAACTCACCAGTGCTGAGAGCCTGCCAGCTTGCTGTGAACGCACATCTGTATTTACTGCTTGTGCTTTACACCAAGGATGCACATGCCCTGGATGCTTACACTGGCAGCAGTGACTAGCAGCTATCACCCAGAACAAGCCAGCCCCGCGATGGGCTTCAGAAGCGATCAGGGATTTTTCTCCTGTGCTTCTGCCCAACGCCGCGCTAGGCAGGTAGGGATGCCAGGTTAGAGGTGACAGTGCAGTGCAACCCTGGTGCTGACCCAAGTGCAAGTTGGACATTTACCCTAGAGTGCTCTGTACCATCCAGTCACCAGCATGCAGCCGTACCATCCCAGCATCCGTGCTGTAACATAGCATGGGAAAAAAGTAACCCTACCGTGTCGCTATTACCTTTAGGCATATTACCTTTGGGAGGGCAGCGTGGGTGTTTGCCATCCTTACCAGGCCACTCCACACTCAGTGAGCCAAACACACGGAAGGTGTTGATCAGTCCAGCTATATACAGAGGGAAAGAAGTCAGTGATCCACAAAATGCTTCTTCCTCAAGTCCCCGCAGCCACCTCTACACAGGGCTCGCTACAAGGCCCAAGCAGAAAGCAAGCTGGACACCATGGCAGGGTGCAACAGTTCACTGCTGAAGCAGGCAACTCCACACATTGGCAGCTCCAGTGGGATGAACACACAGCTCTTTCGGCAGAGCCTTTAATTCCCTGCCTATCCCCCACACTGCTGCAGAGCTGCCAGGGAGGTCGAAAGCCCTTCTGGTGTCAAAACCCGAGGCCCACACTCGGTGCAGGCTGCCAGGCCAGGGCTGCTCACCTTCCGTAATGTCCCAGGGGACGCCTCCTAGAAACACCTTGCAGGAGTAGACGGGGTTCTTGTAGTTCCGGGGAGGCAGCTGCCCGCTCCAGGTGCAGGTTGCTTCATTCACAGCTTGGACAGATGCAAACAACACTTCAGAGGACTGTTTACTTCTTTCCCACTCTCCTGCTGTTCTCCAAGCCATCTTGTACAACTACAGGCTCAGAGCTACAGCAGTAATAGGCACTTTCCCTGACAACCCTTTCCTCTGCTAGCAGGTAGACCCAAAACCAGGCTTACCAGAGGAGAACTACCACAATTCAGGTCCAGTCACATCTGCAGATGCCACCTGCCTCCCCTCCCACAAGGGCAAGGCAGCCATCACACACTGTAGTCTGCCAAGACCCACCATCCAACTTACCTGCTGCTTGCCTATGAAGCCTGGCTTCTCTTTCGATACTGAAAGGGTCCTCTGGAGAGTCCAGGAGATCCCAGGAAGGCCATGCAGATGCTCCAGGCCATCTTTTAGACGTACTAGCTGGGGAGGAAGTTACTGCAGCCAGAGCAGTTTGATCTTGATCCAGCCGTGACCCCACTCCCATCTTTAGGGGGTCCCTTGACACTCCGCTGAGGGGCAGGAAGGGCAGAGGTGGGGAGATGCGAAGGCTCGACTGCAAGAGAAAGTCCACATTAGAGCCTGGTCTTCAGATGGGAGGAGGCAACACTGGAGATCAGGTACCACTCCTGGACCCTACCTGCAACTGGGCTAGGCAAAGAGGCTCTTGGGGACATCCCATTCTGCTGAGACCCTAACAGCTGGTACAGGCAGGAAAGCACTTGCCTCAACTGTCCCAGCAGCCTGGAGCAGGTGCCGGTGGGACCGCACAGCTCCCCCGCATAGGCCTGCCCTGCAGCTGCTTCCCACTGAAGCTCTGCTGAGTTATCAGCAGTGGGGATTAAGCAAGAGGCACCTCACACAACAGGGCAGAGCCAACTGCCCTGCATAGCCTCAAGCAAGGCAACTTCCACCCCCAGGGAGCACCAACTCCACCAGCAGGAGCCCCATGTTCTGCTTCAGGCCCCACTCTGGAGCAGCCTGGGCTTCCCCAGCAGCACCCACAGAGCTCTGCCACAGTCAGCTGGTTCTCACCACTCTGCACAGCAGCTCCATGGCTTGCGTGACTAGGATGTGAACTCAGCTGGCTGCACTAACCTGACTGCTCTCAGGCTTAACATGGCTGTCCTTGGGCAGAAGGATTCAAAGCATGAATTAATAAAACAGCAGGGATGCAAGACACTTTGCACAGCTTAAAGTGCTAATCACCCTGCAGATCCAGCTGGATGCTGCTGCAGCACAGCCACCCACACTGAGGCCGTGCTGGGGAAGGTCTGATCCCCGCCAAGCAAGGCTAACAAAGCACTGCTGCCCTGCACCACCTGCCAGAGCCCTAGAGGCTGCACTGTTGCTAACAGCACCCACTTTTGCAATCCCACTTCTCCAGGGCAGATCTTATAAGCAAGAATTAAGCTAGCCACATCCTTCGTGCCCATCCCAAAGCACAGGATAAGGCCGCAACCAAACTGCGGCAGAACAAGGTGCAGCAAGGCCTGGTTTTAACTTCAGCTCCTCAGGATGGGAGGGAAGCTGTGCAGGACACTGAGGGCTGTGCTGCTACATGGCGAGGAACAGAGCTGGCCAGAGCCAGGCTGCCCTGCTGGCATACCCAGAGCTGCAGCTCACACTGCAGTATAGACCCAGCTGCACAGACCAGGTCAGCAAGGCAGACACTCTCCTCACGTGCTTGCTTCCAAATTTAGCAATGCTTCAGGGAACACAAGCAGGCTAGACCCAGTTCGCTCCAGAAGAAACAGCCCTGAGATGAAGTGCAGTCAGCAAGTGGGAAGGGCAATGAAAGGCAAAGACTGGAGCTCTTGAGAGGCCCAGGCTGGCATCTGGAGGCAGCTGGGCTGATGAGCCACCTTGCTGCTGGAAGCAGGACCCATCAGCCCACCAAATACCAGCTCAAGCACTCAGACCCTCCAGCAGCTACCTTAACCCACTAGGGCTGCAAGCACAAGTCGAAAGCTGAAAAATTGTTTAGAAGAGAAACAGGCATATTGCTAGTCTGCACTGAAGGACGGACTGCATAAGTAGCCCCTTCTTCCAAACTCTGGGCTCCAGGAGAGAGCCTCCCTGTGACAGTCTAGACATGACAGCTCCCTCACTTCAGCACTCTCTTCTCAAGCCAGCAGGGTTGCAGCTTGCAGCTCAGCACAACTATGCTGCACTCTCTAGAAACACAGCACAGTGCCAGGAACCACAGGTTCCCAGGCTGCAGAGAGCAGGTACGAGATCCAAACTTACAATCAAGTCTGAGAGGTGGTCAGAGCCCGAGCTGAACCCACTGGTGTCTGAGTCAGAGGGGCTGCTGGAGCGGGAGTCCAGGAGGGAGCGGGAGTCCAGGCGGGAGTTCCTCAGCGTCGGTGTGGAAAATTTTTCTGACAGGTCTGAACCAATGGGGTCTAGAGGCAGGAAACCCAGAGGGGGCTTCCCCAGGACATTGCCGAGAGGGTTACTCAACATGCTGAGAACTGGAAGACAGAAACAGCTTGTCAGTGCTACAGCATGCCACATCTCCTTCCATCCCTCCCATCTCACTGCAGAACCTCCTTGTCAGCCCACATACAGCTAGGCCAGGAGACAGCACATCTGGCAGGTACCAACTCCCTGGACTGCTCTGGAGAGGCTGCATGTTCTTTGCCATCGCTTGCAGCAAAGCATGCCACACAGCCAGCCTCCTCTGAGTCAACAGTAGAGGCCTGGTATGGCATACAAATGCAAGGGCTGGTTATTCTCCCAAGGCAGTAATCCAACAGGAGACCCCCCCCCCCATCTAGGAGCAGAACCAGGCACCCCACGTCCTGGCTACAGGCCTCAGGTTGTCCACAGAGCAGCTTCAAAACAGGTCCCCTGACCTGGCCCAGGCCATTATGCTTGTATTTCTTGCTGCTGGTACTAGAGCAAGCTGGGACCCAACAGGGCAACTCACTGCACAGCCTCAGCAAGGGTGGCACATGCCGACTGTACCCACAGCCAGCACAAGCTGCATGCACCCATGGCCAGGCAGAGAAGAACAAGGCCTGACCTGAAACAGGTGTCTGCAGACTTGGAGGTGGGATGGTGCCTGTGTCAGCCTTGACATGAGCTGGCTACAGGGTGCCAGCGATGCGCCAGTCTAGCCTGCTGACAAAGGAGACGCTTCACAGTGTGCGCTGTCCCCAGTACGTGTTCACAGGCTTGTCTGGTCAGGCCTTTGCCTAAGAGCTGACAGACAAGTATGCACCAGACTGCTTCTCACATAGCAGCAGGTTTTCCTCCCACTGAGGAGTATCAAGGCATGCAAATTCCTCTCTACCCACAGAGCCCCCCAGCAGAGCAGCAGGTATCCAGGGGCCAGGAAACACTTGTCCCACTGTGTGGGTCAGCGGTCTTAGGCCAGCTACCCACCCAGAACAGAGCAAACAAGACATGTTCAGCCACGTAGGATCCCACGGGGGTACGACACCAGCCAGCTCTATGCAAGGGAGGCAATTCTCAGCAAGCTGAATGTGTCCCCAAACCAACTGAAAAGAGCAGAGCATTTAAAAACAGTTTTAATTATTCAGAGGCTGCAAAACAAGGCAGCTTACCCTGAAGCTTTCAGTTTTCAGCAAAGTCTGGGATCCACTTGATATCCTTAGCCACACCTGATCTGGATCAGCTAGGACCAAAAGGTTTTAAGCTCAGGCTTTCAACAGCTCTTGTACAGAGACGGCTATGACCGTCCAAAACACTGCCCCAAATGGATGAGCAGCACAAGCTGAAGTGTACTATGATCAATACACAGCAGTGCCGACTCAGTGCCAACTCTAGAGAGAGCTGTAGAGCACGCCTGAAGTGAAGTGCTAGGATGTGTGTCCCAAGACAGTGTTACCCAGTAGCATACCTGCTGAAAAGCTGGCATCTCCAGTCCTTCCTAGATTACGCAGCCACAAAATGCCACCAAAACCCCCCTACAGGTACAGATGGGGTCCTTAATCTGAAGCAGCTACCTCTGAATCCGAGGCAGAGCTCATCTGTAGGGCACTGTTAGCTATACTCACAACATCTTCCCAGAGCACTGGCTATTTCCATTTGTAGACCCTCATCCCTGGAAGTTTCCCCAGCAGAGCTGCAGACCCCTCACTTTCCACATCTCAGCTGTGGCACAGGACTAAGAACTCAGCTCACCTGACTACTCTGAAAGGTCACTTGGAAAGGGACCATCTGCAGGTAAGGTCACAGGGATCACTCCTGCCTTCTGAACAGGAGGAGTTCAGCTCCCCAGGCAGCAGCTCTTGTACTTACACCCAAAACAGCCGAGCAGACAAACCCCATAGTTGCAGGAAACCTTGCTGGCCCAGAAGTACTTACTGTCAGCAGAGCTCGACCAGCAGCAGCCTCGCTAGCAGTGGCAGGGGCCGAGGGAAAGCTGCCGCAGACAGCTCAAGACAGGGAGGAGACTGTTCCCTCTAGTCACAGCACAGAGCAGGACAGACCATCTCCCAGCCTATGCAAGCTGCGCTACGCTGGTTTGCTGACTTCTCTGAAGCCACGTGGTATGTTTAAAAATACAGCCGGTGCATTGTTCAAGGGAGACAGCTGAATTTGTTAAACAGACTCAAAAATCTGATTAGTCACTAAACAGTACAAGAGTCAAAGCAAAGCAGCTGATCCATGGCCCAAGCCTCACAGCTGGCAAACACTCCGGTGCTGCCCCCCTCTTCTCCGCCATGGAGAACAGCAGGTTTGCAACACTGGCCAGCAAGGAGCACCACGCTGAACCTGTGCGCAGTGGCATTCCTAGAGGTCCAGAGCAGCAGATACTGGACAGATTGCTACTGGCAATGCTGTCCTAAACCTCACCTTGGTTAAAGGGCTGTCTTTGGAGGTGCAAAGCCAGAATTTGATTCATGTTGTATTAGCAGGGGTTCAGGGGCTCAACAGGAACCCCCTCAAGGATCTTTCAGGCATCTAACTGTTCTGCCCCATTTCTTTGGCACCTCTCTGCCACCACACTGACTTTTTCCTGCCCTCCACTTACACACTTACCCCCCAGGACTGCTTAGCTATCTCCTCAGCTAGAAGACCTATAGGGCAGCACCAGCTCATTCAAGTAGCAGGACTACAGTCCTTTCAGAGGATCCAAAAGCCTGGAGCACTCGAGTTCTAGCACCTACCACCAAGCACAATCCTTCTGACTGTAACTGATCCACTCCTAACTTGCCCTGGACTCAGTCCTGGAAGTGCCGACATCCTGCTGCTAACGCAGATGGATTTTTATCCCCTCAAGACCTTTTTTGATAGGCCTTCCCAGACAGTGCTCAACTACTAGCTCCACAGGCTATGCTAAGCTTGTGACAGACCCCCACATCATCCCACTGGGTCCTAGAGCTGGACTCAGCCCAGTCTCACACCTAGACCCACTCACAGGGACAGCAGAAGGCAAAGCTGCAGGCCATCCTCAGCATTTCCTTCATGTTTGCTTAGCGATCAGGTTGCATCCCTTGAAGCCAGCCTTCACAGGTAGCTTAGGAAAACACTAAGCACTGAAGAGACCAAACCTTGTTTCTCAACCCCCCCCACCCCCAGCAGCAGAGCACCCAAGGGCTGTCTGCTCTAGCTCTCTGCCTGCAGAGTTGTGCACCGAACCTCCTTGGGGTACAGCCTCAGCACACAAGATCCTTCCAAAGGGCTGCCAACTGAAAAAAAGCCTCCTCTGTTTGAATCGCCTTCATTTGGGCTACCCAATATAAACATGGTTATTACAGGGAAGTTTGTCTCCTCTCCCAAATAGGCTGTCTGCAGAAGAGAAAGTTAACTTGCAGCTGATGCATATGCAAGATGCATCAGCAATTTCCAGTGTCAAGAGCATCTGTCAAGAGCATCCCTAAAGATGCAGAAGTTGAGCCAGGACAGCGGATATCAAGCAACTATCCAGATTAAAAGGAAAAACTAAGTGCAAGCATCTAAGTATTTTTCACATCTAAGGGAGTAGTTTTAACTTCAGCATCAAACTTGACTCCCATTCATTAGTACTCCAGCAGCCTGGTGCCCAGAGCACAGTAGCTTGCAGAAAGCTTCTCGAACTTTTCAGGCCTCTGCTCAGAGCCGCAAGAGAGGCGCACGCCAACTCTCCTTTGCAGGGGACAGCAAAAAAAAGGTAGCTTTTAATAGAAACTCAGCTTTGACTTTTGACTCATTGCTGCAACTTTAACAACCAAATTCGGAGCCAGCATGCTCCATCTTCAAGCACATCAGCCAAACGCTGATAGATTTAAGAGCTCTACAGAGCAGTCTTGATACCAACGTGGCACTCTTCCAGAGAGCGGCTGCTCAGGTCGCTCTCTGGAGAGAAAGAGCATCTTAAGAACCAGTCCTGCTCCCTTATTTGAGCCTTTCCTAGTAAAGACTATCAGGACACTACTGCTGAAATACACCCTCTTAATTCCTGCACCATCCTGGGGCCTTTAGAGATACCAAGAGCACATGCAAGCATTGCACCCACCACATCCAGGCCACACACTTCACAGAAGCGCACAAGTACACATGGGGAGCACCCACAGCTGTAGCTTCACAGGGCAGCTAGTTTTATCCTGTTCTGCAGACTCAAATTCATCTTTTAACACTATCAGCCACTGCAAGCTATCTTGTTTAACACATATATGCCCTGATGGAGCGGGTCTGTTCGAGACTGGGTAAGCTGTTCAGTGGGCACCCTGGAAAAGGGACACCAACCACCAGACACCAAACTCCCAGTACAAACCAGCCTTAGAACAGGTTATTTTCCCTGTATACGCCATTTAGGCTTGCAACTTAAGATTTTCAGCACCTGCTTTTGGCACTTAGAGTAAAGTTTTCTTCCTTTAGTACTAGGATTCACAGCCTTGAAAAAAACCTTCCTAGTATCAGCAATTTTGACCAAACCCACTTCACAAAAAAAGGGCCTGAAGATGGGCCCTCAACAGCCCAGCTTACTTCTGCTGAGAGCTTAGAGAAGGCTCTGGGTAAATAAACCCCCTTACCACTATACTGATCACAAATGATGCTTTACTGCCACAAGGAAAACATTAAGATAAACTCAGTGGATGCTCTGTCTGATGTTCTAGTTCTTAGTCACAGCTAGACAAGATTCAAGAAGCTCTGCCACCATTAAGCTGCCCTCTAACAAGTATTTCTGTTTCAGCTTCTCCATCTGCAAAAGACCATCCAGCAAAACAAGCCAACAGCACATTCAACAGCTCCGAGTCCCATTCCTATGCCCTTTGCTCATTTGTGCACCAGCTCTAGCCAAGTTATCCAGAACTTGGGTCTGCTATGAGCTAAGACTCATGTTCCAGCTGCCCAGATCTTCCCGCTCAAGGCCTTTCCCCACACCACAAGAACATTAGTGAAACCTTCCCCACAGCAGGAAAAAAAAAAATAGTATTTGCCAGGGGGTGGCACACTTCACTCTCGGCCTCTTCACAAGAGAAGAGGCACATGTAGCTGTGCATGCACACAACAAACTCCC